CCATGTGTCCCCTGTGTTTCATGTGTCTCATGTGTCCCCTGTGTTTCATGTGTCCCATGTGTCCCCTGTGTTTCATGTGTCCCATGTGTCCCCTGTGTTTCATGTGTCCCCTGTGTTTCATGTGTCCCCTGTGTTTCATGTGTCCCCTGTGTTTCATGTGTCCCCTGTGTTTCTTGTGTCCCCTGTGTTTCATGTGTCCCCTGTGTTTCATGTGTCCCATGTGTCCTCTGTGTTTCATGTGTCCCCTGTGTTTCATGTGTCCCATGTGTCCCCTGTGTTTCATGTGTGTCTTGTGCTTCATGTGTTTCATGTGTCCCCTGTGTTTCTTGTGTTTCATGTGTCCCTTGTTTCTTGTGTCCCGTGTTTCTTGTGTTTCTTGTGCCCCCTGTGTTTCATGTGTTTCCTGTGTTTCATGTGTCCCTTGTGTTTCATGTGTCCCCTGTGTTTCATGTGTTTCATGTGTCCCCTGTGTTTCTTGTGTTTCTTGTGTCCCCTGTGTTTCTTGTTTCTTGTGTCCCCTGTGTTTCTTGTGTTTCTTGTGTCCCCTGTGTTTCTTGTGTTTCATGTGTTTCTTGTGTTTCTTGTGTCCCCTTTGTCCCTTGTTTCTTGTGTCCCCTGTGTTTCATGTGTCCCCTGTGTTTCTTGTTTCATGTGTCCCTTGTTTCTTGTGCCCCCTGTTTCTTGTGTTTCTTGTGCCCCCTGTGTTTCATGTGTCCCCTGTTTCTTGTGTTTCTTGTGTCCCCTGTGTTTCTTGTGTTTCATGTGTCCCCTGTGTTTCTTGTGTTTCATGTGTCCCCTGTGTTTCTTGTGTTTCATGTGTCCCCTGTGTTTCTTGTGTCCCCTGTGTTTCATGTGTTTCTTGTGTTTCTTGTGTCCCCTTTGTCCCTTGTTTCTTGTGTCCCCTGTGTTTCATGTGTCCCCTGTGTTTCTTGTTTCATGTGTCCCTTGTGTTTCATGTGTCCCCTGTGTCCCATGTGTCCCCTGTGTTTCTTGTGTCCCCTGTGTTTCATGTGTCCCATGTGTCCCTTGTTTCATGTGTCCCCTGTGTTTCATGTGTTCCATGTGTCCCCTGTGTTTCTTGTTTCTTGTGTTTCATGTGTCCCCTGTGTTTCTTGTGTTTCTTGTGTCCCTTGTTTCTTGTGTTTCATGTGTCCCCTGTTTCTTGTGTTTCATGTGTCCCCTGTGTTTCATGTGTCCCCTGTGTTTCATGTGTTTCATGTGTCCCCTGTGTCCCCTGTGTTTCATGTGTCCCCTGTGTCCCCTGTGTTTCATGTGTCCCCTGTGTTTCATGTGTCCCATGTGTCCCCTGTGTTTCATGTTTCTTGTGTTTCATGTGTTTCGTGTGTCCCCTGTGTTTCTTGTGTTTCATGTGTCCCTTGTGTTTCCTGTGTCCCTTGTCCCCTGTGTTTCATGTGTTTCATGTGTCCCCTGTGTTTCTTGTGTTTCATGTGTCCCGTGTTTCTTGTGTTTCATGTGTCCCCTGTTTCTTGTCTTTCATGTGTCCCCTGTGTTTCATGTGTTCCTTGTGGCTCCTGTGTTTCATGTGTCCCCTGTGTTTCTTGTGTCCCCTGTGTTTCATGTGTTTCTTGTGTCCCCTGTGTTTCTTGTGTCCCCTGTGTTTCATGTGTCCCCTGTGTTTCTTGTGTCCCCTGTGTTTCATGTGTCCCCTGTGTTTCATGTGTCCCCTGTTTCATGTGTCCCCTGTTTCTTGTGTCCCCTGTTTCTTGTGTCCCCTGTTTCTTGTGTCCCATGTGTCCCTTGTGTTTCATGTGTCCCTTGTGTTTCATGTGTTTCGTGTTTCATGTGTCCCCTGTGTTTCTTGTGTTTCATGTGTCCCGTGTTTCTTGTGTTTCATGTGTCCCGTGTTTCTTGTGTTTCATGTGTCCCGTGTTTCTTGTGTTTCATGTGTCCCCTATGTTTCATGTGTTTCTTGTGTTTCATGTGTCCCCTGTGTTTCATGTGTTTCATGTGTCCCCTGTGTTTCATCTGTCCCCTGTGTTTCATCTGTCCCCTGTGTTTCTTGTGTTTCATGTGTCCCCTGTGTTTCATGTGTCCCCTGTGTTTCATGTGTCCCCTGTGTTTCTTGTGTTTCTTGTGTCCCCTGTGTTTCTTGTGTTTCATGTGTCCCCTGTTTCTTGTGTCCCTTGTGTTTCTTGTGTCCCTTGTGTTTCTTGTGTCCCTTGTGTTTCTTGTGTCCTTTGTGTTTCTTGTGTCCCCTGTCCCCTGCCTCTGTCTCAGTGTTTGTTTTCTCCCTGACGTGTCGCTGCGTGTTCTCGGTGAGCCTGAGCCTTTGCCGTGTGGACCCTGGCGTCTGTGTGAGATTCCTGCCTCCCTGGTTTCTGCTTGTTGAACAGCATTCAGTGTTCAGGGCTCAGTGTTTGTTCCCGAGTCTGCAGGCTGCTGTTTGCTCGGGAGTCCACAGGACCAACCCTCAAATCTGCTCATCCCGGGAGAAGCCACTGCTTCTGTTGGGGTGAGGAGGTGACAGCGACTCCATCATCATGGAATAAAGTCGAGCAGGAGCTCACCATCTGTGTGACGGGTGCTCGGCTGCTGCGCTCCGTCACACGCTGCTGCGTGTTGGGTGAAGCTTGGTTCCACCTTCGGGCCATCACCTATGGTCCTCTCTGGGAGGGACTGACAGAACGGACCACAGGTGACCGGCAGGTCGTCACAATCCACCAGGAGGAGATAACCTGCTCCTGTCGCTGCAAGGCAGCTCCACCTCAGAACAGGAGAATGGGTGGATGCTGGTTAATGTGAGCAGCTTCAGCGTCTGTTGGTGAAGAGACTGAGAGGAGAGCACATCCTCCACTGAGATCTTTCTTTGTCATTTTAAAAAGATCCGCATCAGCTCACAGATTCATCGGCTTCTCCGTCTCGCTCCACCTCGCACCAACTTTCATCACATGCAACCGCCGGCGTTCTCCTAATCTTACTGACGGCGTGCAGTCTTATGATCTGAGGTCTGTTGGAGCTAACTGTAAAGGGTCCTTCACACAACGGCTCCACCAATCAGCACGCTGAAGAAACGGGAACACAAACGTGTCCACGCAGAGTCACACAGCGAGGTGGCTCCTCGCAGGCAGCAGAGGCCTGTGATTGGACGGAGCTGCTTAAAGGCCCGCTCTGCGTCTGTCGTGTTCCAGGTGAAGGTTAGTTGGTTTATGGGAGATGATGTTTCTGATAAACCTCCAAACAGACCAGATCTGTAGGGCGCTGCCTGTGGATGCTGCAGACGGTCCATCTGTGTCTCAGGTTCTGGTGACGTCCTGCTGTGTCCTGACGTCAGCTCTGCTGGTTGTAACGTTTCACTGCAGATCAACATGGCAGCCGTCCAAGCAGCCAGTCTCACAGCCTGCCCTCAGCTGAAAGAGGATCTGATTGCGGCGGGGGGGACAAATCGAAGGCCATAAAGTGAGAGGGTGGGGGGGTGAATAAATGGAGGGCAGGAGTTAAAGGAGAAGCTGTGCTCAGCATGTTCAGTCTGTGACTGCAAGCAGGAGTCACATTTGTGATGAACAGCTCAGAAATCAGAGTTTCAGTCTGGAGCACCAGCAATGTTTGTGGCTCCTCCTCAGAGCATGGAACAAACGCTGTGCTCATTCATGGAAGCCACAACGAGCCACTAAGTGCACTCGCGTCCATCTTTGCAGAGTAAGATGTGCCTGAAACCGCAGAGCTCCAACTGTCCTGAATCTCTGCAGCACGATTGGCTCATTAACCTCCTGATTTGGTTGCCTATTAGCTTGTTAGTTGCAGGGGTGGGACATAGATAACCATTCAGGTGGAGAGAAGCTGATGATTTACCATCGATCTGTGACCCCGCCCTTACCCGAGGCCACAGACGACAGCAGAAACGAGGCGTGAGTTTAACAAATCGATTTTAGTCTGAATAACGGGATATCGATCAATTAAGTCCTGGGTCGATTATTATTGGCAGAAACACCTGAATCTCAGCTTAAAGCTCACAAAACTATTTCAACAACCACCAAACAGCTAAAACAGTAAATGAGAGACGGTACAAACACGTGGACACAGAGCGTGGATCGTTCACCCGACGGCACGGACACGCCGTCGGACTGAAAGCCCGCAGCTCACAGGTTCTGATGCTGCAGTTTCGTCACTGTGACCAAAACTGACTGAACCAGCAGCACAAGAAGATCAAACTACGCTTCACGTTTGATAAACGTTGTATTTAATTCGCTCTGACTTCCTGCACAGCTCCTGCTATGTTGATTCATGGTTTTTGATCGACTGCAGAATATTTTGCTTCATGTTTTTCTGTTGTGATGCTTACACCTCTGATGGTTATGCACTGATAAATGATCAGAATTATAACATTTCTGGCTGCCCGAGGCAAAAATCGAATGGGGACGTTCTGAATCATAACGGAGTAAGTTGTATAAACCAGAGATGATACTCAGCAGAAACGAGCTTCGTCTGGACGATGGCTCGGCTCTCAGCGAGTGTCCCCGCAGCCGTTTCCTGCTTGGTGTTCATTAAACACACCGTGTGATTGGTTTGGTAGTTTGTTGGTAGGAGTTCTCTAAAAGTTCAGAGCGAGGCGGCTCAGAACGAAGTTCAGCAAAGTCAGGTTTTCTCTGTGTTCGCTGGTTTAGTAAGTGCTCAAACCCAGAGACGGATTCACCGCGGTGGTTACCAGCCGGGCTCTCGGCTTCAGGCTCTCGCTGCTGCTGTTGTTTCTGAGGTGATGGAGAGTAATGTCCCGCCCTCAGCGCAGACTTACAGGAAGTACTTCAACATAATCCTGTAAGTTTTGGAAGGATCCTTTGACACTGCGAGCTCAGGCAAAATGAGATATTAGTTTCATGTCTTCAACGATCTGCATCACACCTGTACAGGTCACCTCTATGTTTACAAACTAACGACATCGCAGAGTTTAGTTTCCTGATGTTTTCACCACATCCAATCAGCTCTCCTTCCCTGCAGAGATCCTCAGATCAGCCCATGAACAGCCCTGTTTGTGTCCCCCACAGACACAGACTACATCAGTGAGGAGGAGAAGCACAGGGTGGAGCTGATGTTGGCCTTTCTCACCGAGGAGTCCAAGCAGGCTGCAGCCAGCACAGCTGTAAGTACACCTGCACCTGTCACACCTGTAAGCACACCAATGTAAAAAACATGGACGTGGCGATGTGACCCGTCGCTCACAGACCTGGTTATGGTTCTGCATCCACAGACTTCATGAGAGCCTCACACAGGCTCAGGTACCTGCTGTTACTGATATGTAACAGCAGCCATTAGGGCGGGGCCATATCATACCGTTCAGGGTAATATCAGTGTAATGTTGGGCAACGACAAGAAAATGAAACATGGCGATAGAATATGGGTAAAACGCACATGCGCAGTGCCTTTGTTTTCATACACACATGGCGGAAAAAGCATGGCGGCGACGGAGAATAAGAAGGGCGAAAGCGGATCGTTGAATGAAACGGATGAACCTGAACTGGTTTGTAAAAATGCTGCAGCTTCACTGGTGTGGAACTGGTTTAGCTTTCGTCCGTCAGATTCACAACAAAGCACTATTTTTGGTAGCGCATGCTAGCGGGCTGTCGTTATTACCGTGTTGTTTGGAAAATACGGCGCACTTAAAATCAATCCTTTGATTTTTCTGAAAGTCGACAGAGCCCCTTATAACCCCGTGTGCCTTATGTATGAACTCTGGTTGTGTTTACTGACCTCGAGACGATTTTATGTGCACGGCGCTCGAAAATCTGTCAGATGTTTCAGTACGACTTTGCTAAGCTACGAAGCCGCACCGCTTGATGGATTGTCGGAGCGTTACGGCTATCGTAGGCGGGGCCTCGCGGAGTGATACGTGCTGTGCTTCAGCATAATGTTACCGTACTGTGTGTGTTTAACCTCTTTTAAAGTGTTGTGGATATTATACATGGTTATGCTGAGGATGTGTCGGCCAGTTTCCACTGAAATGCCTTTTGGTTAAACTGTCAGCGAGGAGTTTGCACTGTTAAATGTTTATATAACTTTAATGCAGATAAAAAACAGCTGCTTGTTGAAGTGGAAATACATTGATGTTGTTTTGCACTAATAAAGTTGAGGAGTTGTAAAGTATTTTGTCTCGCGTCAGTTATATCGTCAGTTATATCGTTATCGCAAATTTTCAAACGTATATCGTGATAAATATTTTTGGCCATATTGCTCTGCTCTAGCAGCCCTATTATTGGTCACATGATTCATTAAAAATGCCCCAACACCGCACACACAGTGCAGTTCAGGTGAAGCTAGCAGACAGCTAGCAGCTACAGGCACCTGGGTCACCATCCACCTGTCAGTCACAGAGGCCACGCCCCTAAAAAAACTTTAAATATTGAGCTCTAAAAAGGATTTACTTGTTCAGGAAGTGAATTCTGTCCAATGTGGAGCTGCTGACAGCGGCGACACCACGAAGCCGCTTCTTCTTCTTCTGTTGCTATTAAGGTGGAGTTCTGGCAAATGCATGGGCTCGTCCTTTTATAGCGCCAAAGCACTTTCTGCTGCACCACCCACACACCACTCACAGAGCTTCCATCTATGCCTAAGTGCTGTCTAACACATTGGGAGGAGCTCGGGGTTCAGTGTCTGTGGTTATTGCTGCTGGTTCTGAGACGTGCGCGCTCTGCATGTTTGCATAAAGCAGGCGCAGTAAACTGTTAGAATAGAGACGTTGTGTTTGAGACGTTGGTATTTATTTATAGCTGCTGAGACTCTTTAAACCTGCTGATGCTGATTGTGCGCTCACAGGAAAACGCCGCTGCCTGTGTGAGGACTAAAGTAAACCTGAACACAACAGAAGGACCTCGCTGATCAATATATAATTAGTCTGTAATTAATAAGTGATGAAGCTGACCTGACCATAGCAGATTAAAAAGTTAAAGTTTGGAAAAACGTGATTGTGAGAGAAAGCCATTTCCTGCGAGGTGTCTGTTCGTCCTGCTCGCCGTCTCCGCGGAGAAACCCGATCCTGGACTCTCCCCGTTGTCTCCACCGCAGAGCTCGGCCGGCTGAAGTGGAGGATTTATTATTGATAAAGCAGGAGAAGCGCTGCGTGTAAATCACTTTCCTGCAAAGTCATGCTCAGAGAACCGGAAATGAAATAAGAGCCAAAATATTATTAGAAGCTGGTAATGAAAGCACAGCGTTCAGTCAGCCTTCAAAGACGGAGACACCGAGGACGTGAAAAATGGAAAAGAAAGCAGAGTGTAAGTGCCGCCTGAGGTGGATTTCCACAAACCCACTAATGGCTCTCTGCTCTCGTTCAGCTGCGAGTAGGAAATGACTTTTGCTAATGTGAAGTTATGCTGCTTGTTTGGAAAGTGTTCCTCAGTCCAGACACGCCGACAAATGTTAAGTGGTTTCAAGCTGCAGCGTGTTTTTCACACAAAGCCTCGAAGTACACTCGTCTCCCAACAACACACACCTGAGAACGTCAGATATCTGATTACACACACACACACACACGCACACACACCATTTACAAACCCAGCTCGGTCTGGCAGACGAGGCTAAACACTGTGAATATACAGCTGTGCCCAGATGTTTATATACACTCATCAGCATGAACGTCGGGCTTTAATTGCTCTGTTTCCAGGGTGAATGATTGTACAGCGACTTTAAAAAACAAGCTTGACACTGTTTGTATTTCCCTACGACGCTTTAATAAGTGGTGCTGAAGATGCTGCAGACGAGGTTATGGGGAGTGATGACTGCTGAAGGGTCCTCTTTACGGCACAAAAAGGATTTGTTTGGCAGCATTCGTCAGACTGACCGAAGTCCAAGGAACTCAGTGAAGATCTAAGAATCAAACCTGTAGGTTACAGGAGCTGGGAACGTGTCTGCAGAGACACGATCATCATTTCAAACAGCTGTACGTGAGTTTATCCAGATGTGCCGTCACATCGTAACCAGCTTCCTCGCGACGAGAGGAAATTGGTTAGGATGTTCAGGAACAATTGAGGAATAACCGAGACTCAAACCTGCCACGAAGCTTCCACGGTCAAGCCAGTTTTACGTCTGAGAGAGCGCCGACCAAGAAAGAAGCTGTCGCCCACGTGGGCGAGCCAGAGGCAGAAGAGGCTCGGGGCGGTAAAGGGAGACTGTGTGAAAACTCTGACGCTCCCGCTTCAACAGCAGAGGGTCTCCGGGCAGACCATCGCCGTCTTCGTTGTGGAGCGAGGCTACAAACCGCTGCTGTGTTTCTATGTGCCGCATCATTTCCTGTTAAACTCACAGGTCACGCTCGAGCCAGACACGAAGAAGTAACCGAAGCATTTTACACCAGATGTTTCTGAGAAATTCGAGATGTAAGCGCTTCACCCAGAAAAACCTTTTCAAGATTTATGTAACCACAACTTTGTATGATCGTTTAAACATTTATCAGGAGAACTACAAGTTCTTCTATTTTTAAAGAGTCTTTGCAGGCGCAGGATGTTTGAAGCATCTTATTCTGGGAACAGTGGGAGCGAGGCAGGTGTGGTCCCAGTTATCTCTGAGGACCAGACTAGACGCATGAACACGATCACAGAAAAGCTTCGATCGAAAGTTGTTTATGTGATCTGCAAACAGTCCCCACGTCTGTGACGCAGCCTCTCGGTTTATCAGCACGAGCACTCTGTGCAGGTACGGCCGCTGGGTCGCCGCCTCCTTCTGTTGGGGCAGGGCTACTTTCCGCTATAAACACGCCCCTTTCACACAGTGGCGCTTTCTTCAAAAACACTGTTTGCTGTCTGATCACAGCTCACCGAGGCCTGTTGTCATTCGCCGTCACACATTCACACTGAGAAGCACCAAAACAGAAAAATCACGTAGCACCCAGGCTTCCTCGTAGACCCCAAACAGGTGTGGAGGTGAGTCTGACTCTGGTCGTTCTTCATTTGTGTTGTTTGTGGAAACGCACCGCTCTCTCAGATGGCCCCGCCCCTCCCTGAGCCTGGGTCTGTGAGCGCTTTGCTCGTACGCAGTCATCTGATTGTTGGGTCTTTATAATAAAGAGCGCTTTGAGGCGACTGTGATTTGGCGCTAGATAAATAAAACTGTGTAGAATTGAACGTTGCAGTTTTTCCTGCGCGCTGTGTAATCCTGCAGGAATTTATTACCATCACAGAGCTTATCGAGCAGGATTACCCCGGTGCAGGGAGGGCGGGCACCACCTCTGCAACCTCCTCACAAAGAGTTACGTCTGTGGAATATGGTGCTTATCTCCGTGGCGATGCAGGTGGTTATTAGGTTAAAGGTCAAACCTTCATGGCTGATCGTTTTTCTGTGACTTTCAGTCTGGAGTGTGGAGCCTGTAAAACAGGAAACGAGCGAAGCACCAGTCAGCGGTTTTGCTTTCGGCGCCGACTTCCCGACACTTTGAAGCGTTTGCAGCAGATTGATCAGAGCACGTCCGGAGTTTTTACTTCACCTCAGAATAAGTGGAAAATCAGTCGCTGAGACAGGACATTATTCTCATTATTACGACACGCTGCGTGAGATAAAACGAGGTTTGGTCTGAGTGGACCTGAGCTTCCACAGAGAGGTGGGTTGGCACACGGCTGCTGGCTCTCTGATACTCACACCTAAGTCTTTGCAGCCGGAAGCAGCGATCGTTCTTTTCTTCTCGCGCGTCTTTAATGGCAGTGGAAACTTGTGTCATAATGGATGCTGACTTTCCAGGTTTCAGAAAGCCGCGGTCGCAGAGACGGCCTGCCCCCAGCACAGCCCTGCAGACGCCACTTTCAGCTGCCCGTGTGAGATTAAATCATCAGGCTGTTTGAAAAGCTGTCAGGGCGGTTAGCTGCTGCTGTCCATCGATCGCTAAAGCACGCACGCACGCACACACACACACACACACACACACACACACTCTGACTGCTTTCTCTGTGTTTGCTGATGTTTGCCAGGACAGCACACAGGATGTCAGGGCAACCAGCTCCATGGAGATGGGTGTTAAAGCTCCAGTGATTATCCTCTGGATGGTGTGTGTGTGTGTGTGTGTGTGTGTGTGTGTGTGTGTGTGTGTGTGTGTGTGCGTGTGCGTGTGTGTGTGTGTGTGTGTGTGTGTGTGTGTGTGTGTGTGTGTGCGTGTTAAAT